TTTCTAAGAGAATGTTAAAATTCTGTTACTGTAGAATTTCTCTTGCCTTTCAACAGAACTTTTGTGCTCTGGTGAAAAAGAAACCAAAGCAACCACAAGTGAATTCTGCCTTTAAAATGTCTGTTTTCACTTGAAAAATAGTGTTTTGATATGCAGTGTTTCTTCCTTAAGGAATAATATCACATAAATGGATATCCAGTAAAGTTTTAACTGCATCAGCTAAATACCTTATTCTGAAAACACCAATAATTGTATCTACCTGAAGTTCCATCAATAAAAATTACTAACTTTAAAAAATACGGATTTGGATCTATGTAGTTTTTCAGATTAGGATCTTTAAACATTGATTTTGGTTGACCAAAACAATGTATGAGTTTGAAATGGAACCTAAGAATGCTTTAAACTATATTTAAGAGGGTTTTTTAAAGTTAAAATATTAGATTTTAAAATTCTTAAACACTTCAACTTTTCTTTTGCCAGTTGGCATGTATGTTTCAAAACAGAACATTCTTAAAAATGGGGGAAAAGTCTCTCAGAAATGAACCAGAACAAACTGAATGGGTTCCTAAGGAAAGAAAACTGAGAAACTTGCTGTTAAAACTTTAGGACTAGGATTATTTCCATTTACTTACAATGACAAAAGCCATCAGTCAACATCTTGATCTAGCCCTTATTACAACACATGGAATACAGAACACAGTTTCTAAAAGGGAATTCATTATTAATCATAAAATGAAGTTGCTTTCAAATCATTAAGTGCCAGGAAAAGCAAGCTTGTTTTTAACAACATTCCTCCTACAGAGATTACATGGTTGAAAGCTCAAATTTGCTAAACCCACACATTTGTAGGGAACTTTAACGTGTGACCTGGTATGCAAAATACTGTTGCAGCATGAATAAAACATAACTTTTGTAGAAACAGCTACCTTTTCCTGGATTTTTGTTCATTATGAAAACCAGAATATTTTTGGAAGAAAGGATTTTAACTATCAGAGCTTCCTGAAAAATAAGTTATCTTCTTCTACTGATAAAGAAAAGAAAATAAGCAAATCAAACAACAGAAAATTGTGACAGTTAACGAGTAGTCAACAATCAAAAGTTCTAAGGCAATTATTTTTTCCTTCAAATTCTTGCTAAAAATTTTTAGAGTCTGGTTATTTCCAGTACATAAAGAGAATTTAAAGTCAGGCAACCTTGGAGAGCAAAAAGACTTTAAAAGGGATCTAAATTTACATTGTAAGAAACATGTAAAGTGATAACTGTACAAAATACAATTAGGTTCTTTGATACTACAGTTTGATGTTTCTAAATATCTGCTTTCACTGTTTTCTTGCATCTGTCAAGGACTGAAAGACCTTATTTAAACTGAAGAATTACCTGAAAAAATACGTTTTTAGGGTCATGATTCTTTTTTAATTCAAATACTGTACTGTATGTCTCAGCACTGTCAAGCAAGTGCTTGTTTTGTAAGAACTGCAAGAGCAGTGTTGATCAGTAATCATGAAGTTGCTATACCTGGAAGCTATAGCTGTTTCAGAGGAAATCAGAAAGGTCAGTCTGCCTAAAGGAGAGCATTAATGTCACTGAGGACCACAGGAAGAAACCAGCATGGTAGCTAGAAGGGTCTCTGCAGCTGGTGAAGCCTGCTGACAAAAAGCCCCTTAAGAAGCATGATACAGAGTCTTCATCTAGGCAGAGTCAGCACTTTCTGCCCAAAGGGAAAGCCAGCCTGCACCAGGAAAGGAACAAGGCTGAAGCTTGACCACAGGGACCCTGCAGAGTCAGTGAAAACTTTGAGGAATCAGAGAGGAATCCTGAATCCTGAGGGTGGGGGTCAGATAGAGGACCAGTCCTGGCCATCGGGTGAGAAATCATAGCCCACACAACAGAGACCTGCAGCAAAAACCTCACAGAGAAAATATCAAAGAGCATCCTAAGGAAAAGGAAAACAAAGAAAGGGGAAAAAAACAGAAAGAAAAAAGAAAACTCTTTGATTCAATTATTTAGATGCAAGACATTTTCTAAGCTTAGTTACATTAACTGTTCCAAAGGCTGAACCGTACTGCAAACCTAATGCTTTCATGATTTATTTTTCTGCATAGAAAATAAATAAAGGAATAAAAGCTATAGATTTTCTGAAGCACCATACCAGCTGTAGAGATGAACACAATCATAAGCACAGTCATAGCTACAACATGTTACCACACAATCTGAAGAGGAACTATCTGTAAAAACAGTAGAAATACCTATAGATGATATCTAGCTGGCAGAGATTCATTACAAATAATAGTTACATATGTCTTTATTAAAAGAAAAGTGCAGGAGAAAGAAGAATATAGTGGGAAAAGTATTACATTTTAAATGTATCTCTGTTATAGAACAACAGGGTAAAAAGTGTTCTGCTATCTTAATACTGCTTTGCCTTCAATAAATGTAGATGTTTTCATTGAAACCAATGAAAACATGCACTGTGCTCCCTCTGATCCATTGGCAATCAAAGGCACTAGCTAATTTGCGACATGATGATTTGGAGTATTGACCATCATTCACAAAGATTACTTGGGTCTTGTACAATTTGTCTAGTGAGAGGAGGCAACAGCTTTGCCACAGCAAATCATCATGTGGCATAACTACCATCAACATGTGCTAAGTAAGCTTAGTGAATACAGAAACGGATGGAAACAAACTGTACCATCCTTATTATGACTTCCTTCTTCATTGTTACCATACCAACACCTGCAGACACCAATGAAGACCAGTGTCCAGCATCTCAAGCCCTGACAACTTTAAAAAATAAAGCGTAGTGTTTCCTTTAGAAATCCTCCATGCTTTAGATAAAGATGAGTTAGTCAAGAAACAGGAGTGAAAGGTAAGGAGAAAAACATCTCCCTGCTGAATCAACCCAGTTGCACCATGGAGGGGGTGGAGCATTGCGTGCCTGCTTGGACCCTGTGCAGCAGAGCAGGGGATGGTGGGATGAAAGCGAGGCCATGGCATTAGGCTGGGAGCAGAAACATCTGCTGTGGAGTACTGTGCCAGCCCATTCACATCTTCATGACTCCACACACTAGACAGAGCTCATCTGCAAATTTGGACAACCAGTTGTGTCTGGCATGTGAACTCATGGAGGAGAAAAAATGAGATTAAAAAAGAGAGCCAAATAAGATCCTAAGACATCCATTCTTAATCAGAGTTAACAAGAAGTGTCCTTAGATAAATCCTTTCCTGTTAGCTTTGGGGTCAATCTGGTTAGCATGGTGTGGTTACAGTAGTCTGAGTAGCAGCCAATCTAATCATATTTCAGAGAACTCCCTGGAGTACACATACACCAGGCAGAAATAATGGAACTAAAAAGCTATGGGTTTAATTAAAAATTTAGCAGTCTAGGGGGGGATAGAAAAAGGCAGATTGGAATGGAATTAAAATTGAAGCCAATTCTAAGGTAGCTTTTAGCTACTACCATGAAACCGCTATGTTAGTGCTGACATTTGTGCAAATTGTGTGTATTAAGCTTACTTAATAAATACTAACTTCCTGTGGCAATTATGAAGATCTGGAATTTATGCTATAATATTTATGATAAGGCTCTAACTCTAGTGTTTTCCAGAAATTACTGTTTAGTAGAAATCTTTAAACTTGTTTAACCACTTTTTTCCTTTCATGCATTTCAACAAACAGATATCAGATTACTGGAGGGAAATAACACTGCCACGCAATCTGCTACATGCAGTTTCTATTGGTAGATTTTTCTCTACTGGGGCAAAATAATTAAATAAATGAGTTCTTGCCAAGTAGTTATGGATATTAAATGGTAGATATGGTAAATCTGTGGTTTAACAGATGTGGCTGAAAATGTCAATATGCCATAGGTGTTACTGTGGGTAGCACTCAGATAATTATTGCAAAGTAGTCTCAACAGGAGAATAATTTGTAAATATTTACTACACTCTTTGTTACTCTTCTTCAGGAACCTCTGGAAAACCACAGATATTTGAAAACTGCTTTCTGTGGTTTGATTAAAGTCACTGAATAAACTTCCTATGGTGAATTCTGACTGTTGCCCTTCTCATCAGCCCATAGCAAAACACTCGATATTTCAGATTTTCAAAGCTACCCAAATGGTTAACATACCTCAAGTAAATATTGCACAGTTAACAAGGAAACACATTAACTTCATTCTGCTTTTCTCCTAACTGTAATCTTCTCATACAGAGGCATCTTCTGACAGAAGGAAGTGCCTTGGACACAACAACTTCTCAATTTACAGCTGTGGCTTGATGATTAGCTGTCATCAAGAATATTTATTCTTGCACATTATATTCTCTGAATATTATTGGGATGGTGATTTTCAAAACAAATGTAATTCCATGCCCAGGTGGGGCTTAACTAGCACAAAAATTGCAGAATATATTAAGGCAGCAATTAGAAACACTTCCTAATGTAAATTGTTGTGTCTCTTGTTTCTTCTGCTATTAAGTAATAAAGGACTATAATAATCCTAGTTAACCATGTCGAAAACATCCAAATTCTCCCTTTATATTCAATATTTTGATTGCAGTACTTCAGCATCACAGTGTTTGAACTAAATCAGAAGTGGCTAGAGAGTCCAAACTTCTCTTTTACTAAATACATTTTTATACCCCTGTATTATTTGAAATACCTAGGCAATATATATGTATTCATCATTTTGACTCCCTCTTTTGAAGGATGAGTCACTGCTTTCCTGAGTAACTTCATAATCTGAGAAATGTTGGATATATAATGATTCTAAAATATCATTTAAAGGAACAGGTAAATATACAACCCAACCTATTTCAAGATATAACGAATTTGGTTCCGGTTTTTGTGCTATCTTTTGCTGTCTTCTCAAGAACAGAATGGAAGAGCTTTCTTCTGACAACTGACAAAGAAATTATCAACATTTTTGAAGTGCTTTGAAATAATGTGATACTCAAATGAGTATTCTCCAATGTCAGATTCATAATCAAACTAGTACTTACATTTAGATGAAGTTGATTAGTCCACTGACCAATTACTTTGTATTCTGTACTCTTGTTGGTGATTTGATATTGAAAAATATCATAGCGTCCAGGAGCATCTCCATTTTCATTGAAGATAACAGGTGTTCCAGCACTCCCTGAAAAAAATTAAAAAGCAATTAGGATAAATAACTTTAAAGCAATTTTCCAGAAAATATATTTTGGAGGAAAAATACTAATTAGAGATTGAACAGGTTTTTTGTAATGCAAGGTAAGTTTTGTAGTAAATCTAAAAGCCTCACAAAGATAAAATGTGTGTTATTATCAGCAACACAAAATCTGCCTTATCTTTGAGTTAATTAAAACAATTTTAAAATATAATATTTCACAGTATTTTTGTTTGTTTGTTTGTGTGTGCGTGCATTACAGAACATTAGAAAATTCTGTGATAAAACAGAAGGAGAGAACCTCCTTTTGACTTGCAGAAGGGCACAATTTCACTTTAGGATGTGAATACAGTGCAGTAGGCACAAAGTAGCAATTTTGTAATGAACTTCATAAAGAATTTCCCTGTTAGGCATGAAAATATAATGAGTTATCATCAACTTGGCTAAAAGACCTTGAGATGCAGGTGTCTAAATCTGGTCACAGTTCATGTGATCAATGTCTAGTACTGACCACCTGTGTAAAAGTGTTTCATCAAAATAAATTAAGGATAGCAGCTGTGGTTGTTGCTCTCTCCCCTACACATGACACTGCCTGACAGAAAGGGCCATTGCTGAAGCTGTCATAAGTTATAAATCAAACTCTGTTCTTACTTCAATCAACAAACTGTTCAAAGATTGAAAACTACATGTCTACCTTGGCAACGAGGCCAGCCAAATCAGAATACATTCTGATGAATTCCCTCAAGGTGACATCAAGGATCTGCACTCCCACAGAGACTTTTCAAAAACTGCAAAGAATATCATTTTCACCCATCCCCCAAATTCATATGCATAGGTGAATCATGTTTATAGTTGAGGTCCACTGAAGACGAATTCAAGTATGTTAAATTTTTATTTCAGTGACTGGAGTAGGAAATCTATCTTTACTGGTGAAAAAACCCAAACCATCACAAAAGCCACCCCCCAATATTTTCATGTTTCTCCATATGAACAACCAAGAAAAGGACGTTATCCAGTTCACAGTAAATTCCTACAGTATAAGACTTGTTAAAGTATCACCTAGAGGCACTAAGTCCACTGTGAGTTGTTTCCAGAGAATGCCAAAAAATCTTGAGCTTCTGAGTACACATCAAATGGAAGGTGGGGACAGCAATCTACATACCCTAGAATTTCAGCACAAATACTTCTTGTATGTCTGTTTGTCTCTCATAAAGTATTTTGTTCTCTTGTTTTGTATAGCAGTTTTCATACAAAACTGATATCCAGTGAAATAAACACTGCCTTGAGAATGACAAGTGGCACATTAACAACTGTGCCAATTTCACAGTTCTGCCAGCAAAAGTCTGGCTGCAAAAAATAGATGTGAGGAACCATGGAAGAGGAGTATCAAAAATTATGTAAGATAAAGACTTAAGACCCTATGAAGTCTCTTGACTCAACACAAAATTTTGTAAAGTTCTTTGTGCTTTGCTCCCAATTGATCTGACAGAATAAAGGGCAAGAAAAATGCCAGTTGACAAACAATCTTGCAAGCATGACATTATTCTTCACTACTGAAACAGTGGGTTGATCCAATAAATTTCTTCTACCCAATAAACAGATACTCAACTGTTGTTGGTATGTAGGTACAGAGATAACCTTCAAAATATTACTCTCACGTAATGATGGAATTAATTTTTCCACTCAGAAGCATCTGAAGAGCTCATGAAAGAAGGGATATATTTTATCAACCAATATGAAATGTCCTTTGTATCCCTTAAAACCAATGGCAACTCAGATGTTCTTATGCTCAGCAATAACAGTGTGATCTTATTATTTATTGCTAGTTTTAGAAATATCATGTAAAAAGAGACAGATTATATCACAGGCCAGAACCATCTTTCTCTTTGATGCAGTGATGTTCTCAGCTAAAGCATAACAGCATCTCATGCTGTGCACCTCAGTCGATGGGGCCATAGCATCCTGTCAAATGCAGCTGCCACTCTGACTGAGTCCAAAGAGATATTTCCCATATAGTAGAAGTTAAAATAACATTTGGTAGGTTAATAAGATTAAGGCTGTTAAAAGCTGGAGTAGGTCACAGAAGATTCAGACACCCAAACACTGGGAAGATTACACTATCCCTCTGTTGAATACCAGATTTTTGAAAGTTCAAGAACAGCCATAGTATCTGCTGTAAAGTAAATTTTATTATATTATAGCAGTGCTGCCATAATGAAACATTTAATGGACCTAAACCAAGGAAGTATACATGACTGGACTGTGCTAATAAACCTTTAGCTACATAACCAGGAAAGCAAAGCTTAAAGAAATTTGAAGAAAAACTGGGGATTTTAGCAAGGATTTCCAGAATTATGAATGCAAGATGGTAGCAGAAGCCTTGAAAGTTTAAGGACAGAACGAAACAAGAGGCCCCAAGAATATAAACAAATCACCAGTGGTTAATTAGTGTTAAAAAAACATTAAAATTAAAAACATAAATCTCATCTAAAGAAAAAAATGCCTTGGTGGATGATCCAGATTAACAGTTTGTATGAGAATCGGTAGTCCACAAAATGAAAAGGTTTTTTAAGAAAATATACTTTGTTGGATAGTCCATTAAGTTAAAGTGAATACTTCCATGGAAAAACTGTTTAACAATGTATGGAGATCAGATAATTAAACCGTGTGGACAAACATTGTAGCTGAGCATAACTAATAGCCTAGGTGGAGTCATGTCTATTCATGATTTGACAAACAAATGCCATTGAGTCGTACAAGTGCCTCTGTTTTCAATAACCAGATGTTCCGAACTTAGCACTCTCGATATCCTGTATATACTGCCATGTATGCTTTTACTGTACTAACATTATAGGGAGTTGCATCTTAATTTGAGTTTAAGATCTTGAGTGTTTAATTGCTCCACTTAAGAGTCATTCAGGACTGTCTACAAAATCTAAATGCAACACACTGTGGAGAGAAAGTAATGCAGAATACACCAATTACCTGAGGTAGTGAGCCCATGTTATATAAATTCCAGCTTAGATAAAAAGGTTTTGAGAAACCACACTGAATAGTTCTTGCATATATATGTTGGATATTATCCTCATCCAGGAACCTCATTTATTGGACACCATCATAGGAAAAATGTTGCTTTTGCTTAGAAAAATTTTCCCTGTAATGCTAGTGTAGTGTCACGTCAGAGAATGCAATGCAGCCCAAGTTTTTTAAGAAAATTTCAATAATTTAATGTTTTTTTTCATAATTTGTCACCAAGCATTGAACAAGGTAGCTAAAGAGCAGTGAGAGAATTGTGCCTTCTGGCCTTTTCACATTTTATTCTTTGTGTGGTTTAGTTGCTATGCATAATTTTAACCCATGATTGACTCTGATAATTGTATTCAAACTGTCACCATCTTAACTAAATTTTTAATATATCCTGGATGCCTAAAAACAGAAGTAGGATTTCAGAAATAGATAATAAGCTTGGCTAACTACGGAAAATCATGTGTGAGACTTCATCTTCTTCATCTTTCCTTTGTTCCAATCCTTTTTCTTTTTTCTTTTTCTTTTTCTTTTTCTTTTTCTTTTTCTTTTTCTTTTTCTTTTTCTTTTTCTTTTTCTTTTTCTTTTTCTTTTTCTTTTTTCTTTTTCTTTTTCTTTTTCTTTTTCTTTTTTCTCTTTTCCTTTTCAAATATATAAGTTACTAACTTATTTTGAAATCTGTTTCTGAAGAGTCTTTTTTCTAGGCAATTCCAGAATACTCTTAGAAAGTCTTTTTATTTTTCTAAATAAATAATCTTCTATAAACCCTATAGGATGCTTTGTAGAATAGTTCTGTTACCATTCATTTGAAGACAATCCATATCCACGGTATAAAAGAATAAGTTACATTTTATTAAGCCTAAGGACACACTTCCTTTTTGTAGATACAAAATAATCTGGTACTGAAATAAATTATCCCTCCTTCTCAGTTTACAGCCAGCAGCATTAAGCATCTCTGGGTGTTACTAGCCCATTAGCTAAACACTATTGAAGCAATGTGTCTGTGACCTCAGCTGTTTAAAAGCCTTTCAAAATGCAGCTCAAACTAGCCAGAAAAGTTATTTAGAAAAAAAATTAAAATAAAATGCATGAGGTTTTTAATTCCGAATCGGAGATGCAATGGATCCTTTTGATTTTTTAATGCTTTACACTGATTCCAAGGAGGACTCTTTCTGATAAACAACTGGTTTATGACAGGTCCTTAGTGCACTGAACCTGGAAGTTCACATTCCTCTGAAGAAATCCTTAAATATGTACCTTGATATTCTTAAGATGCTGGTCAGCAACTACCTTATCTTGCATGTGCCTACTTTATCAAGTTACATTTCACATGAATCTAAAACATCCTTGCTCCTAATGCAAACTGTAAACTTAGTTCCCTGTGAGGCTCTGGAGTACAATTGCCCGGATGCCTTCCAGTGAAGTTCTCTTTACATCGCAGCTAGTGGAAACGAAGAGGAATGACTGGAAAACCACAAGTTCATGTGTAGTAGCGGCCAATTGCATATTAAAGTGAGTAATCTTTAACAATTCCTAAGTTAAGAATAGTGGTGAGCCTTACTGAAACCTGTTCCAGTGTCTCATCACTCTCAGAGTAAATTTCTTACCAATATCTAATCTAAATCTACCCTCTTTCAAATTAAAATCATTACCCTATTACCTTCTTGTCCTATCACTGCACTCCCTGATAGAGTCCCTTCCCATCTTTCCTGTAGATCCCCTTCAGGTACTGGAAGGCTGCTATAAGGTCTCCCCAGAGCCTTCTCTTCTCCAGGCTGAACAACCCCAACTGTCTCAGCCTGTCTTCATAGGGAAGGTGCTGCAGCCACTTGATCATCTCTGTGGCCCTCCTCCGGACTTGCTTCAACAGGTGTATGTCCTTATGTTGAGGAGCCTAGATGCTGGATGGAGCATGGAGCTGGATGCAGTACTCCAGGTGGGGTCTCACAAGAGTGGAGCAGATGGGC